TCTCCCACTCTCACTCACACTCACTCTCACCCACACTCGCTGGCACACACCTTCACTCTCACTCACGCTCACTAACACTAACACTCACACTCACACTCATACTCACTCTCACCCACACTCACTCTCACTCGCACTCTCCCTCTCACCCACACTCACTCACGCCCACCTTCACTTCATCACCACCATCACCGGACCCCAATGCGTCTAGATCTCTAGACTTTCTGCTTACAGACCTCACACACACATACTGTTTGGGGTCTCTTGCCGGGATAATTTTTCGTATTTTGACGCCTATGATTTAAAAAAACAAGTGACAAGTGTTTCTCTTCTTGCATCTTACCACCAGGGGCTTTAAACATAGGTAGTATTGCGGGCTCGGGTCCAACCACTTTTTCGTTGATCCATCCACGCATTGGCCAAGATCAGCTGTTCAGTGCTGGTCCTAGATTGCCCCTTCCAAAAGTCCCTCTCCTGATGTCTGGCCAGGCTTCCCATGAATCTCTTCTCCACAGGGTCGCCAAACGGAGTAGTGCCAGCATCTGAGACAAACAGCTTTCCCCCGTACCAGAATTCCATAGGAGACTCCTCTGCATGCAAGGCAAGGGAGAGGGCACGCCGGGTGCGCCAAGAATCACTCCAACCATACCAAAGTCGTCTAATGAGGTGAACGAAAGGCTACTATAGTTGGTTAACCAATGTTAATCGAACAAACATTCCAATCTGCCCATCAGCTAAGTTGCCGCGAATTCCACCACAACTGCGGTGTGCCAAAATGCCGTGAAGTGCCTGCCCAATAGCCAGGACCAAGATTTTGCCTTTCCATAGCTGATGTCGTACATCCTGTCAATTTGCATTTGTAGTGGAACGTGCTGAAAAACTGATTGTCTGTCTGTCATGTCCTGAGTGTCACCTGAAAAATGAGCAAGACAGAACCGAAAAAAAACTCAGGCCCAGCCAACGCAACAATTTTTTGGTGGGTATATTCATTTGCAGGCGGGCCCAGCGTGCACATGTTTTTCTTGCGTGCACGCAAGGCACCATAAATAAACTCTATGCCGCTGTCGCCCCAGCATGATGCTCAAGAAATCGTGGTAAAGAAGTTGGTCATCTTCTTCAAACACACAGTTGCCTTAGCACCAAAGCTGCAAACATCCGTTTCACGAGACTTACGTATATGACTTTACATAAATAGTTATTTCGTTTTCACAGGGACAATATCGGAAAAATGCTGTAGCATGCCCAATTTGCCGTTCACATGTCGTTCCAAAGCCTCCTTTGCGAATTCCTGCTCTAGCAACGGATCTGGCTGCAGCACGAGCGATTGGCACACCTCGCATCTGATTTCCATTTGCAACTCGCCAATAACCAAAATGATCGAATATGCAGAAAAAAGAGACTCAAAAGGAAAGCTCTAGTTTTCTTATAGAATTGAACGTAGTCCGAATTCTTACCCACGATCACCCCTGCGTCCTCTCATTGTTCAGCAGTAATTATCCCATTAGCAGCTTAGCACTTGGCCCCCATGTCGACAGCATGACGGCATGTCATGGCCCATCGAAATCCAAACTCTTTTATGTAGAGGTTCCTAATCAGCCCTTGAAGACTTGCAAAGCGCTGCAAAGCACGAACCAAATCAATTGTTTACAGAACGCTCTTCAGCACCCAATTGCCCTCCATTGTTGGCCATGTCCCCGAGCCGCTTGAAGCCTTGACCGGCCCAGGACAACACCAGCCTGAAGCAAGGTTTGATGTGACATGGACAGCTGACCTGTAGCCGGAGAAGGCTCCGCGGCAGCTTCAAAGAGCAATTGCAATCTCTCCAAGACCTGGATCTAAACAGTTTGGTTGGAAGTTGGTACCGTAGCATGTTTGTGTGTGCTTTGTATGCGACACAATTATGTCCACCACGTGGATGCCACATGCAAGATTCACTTCATGTCATGGTTCAACAGGATACCGATTGTGACCTATTGCTATACTAACTCCAACAACAACAGCAACAACAACAACAAAGCAAAACATTGCAACACATCATAGCGTAAAAATCCAAGGAAAACATGCAAATGATGCCTATGGCGGTGGCTACTGGGAGGATAGCATCGGCAATTCAAACGCTTTGAGATGCCTTTGGGTCGTATTGCAAAAGCAACTGCAGCCGGCCATTTGTGCTGGCCACTGCTGTGCTAGCAGGATCATCCTGAAGGAGCATCCAATAGTGGAGCCATTCTGCCATGTTCACATACCTGGGTGACAAGCCCCAATCCAACCCTGACAAACAAATTTCCCACTAGATAATGCAGCCAACATGCCTGAGGTTCGTCATGGTCATCCCCTGGAAAACCTAAAGCAACAACTTGACGTGATTGCTTTATTATCGCAAAAGTGGCACAAACATCAGAACCAACATGAATCAACTCTTGCCACATGTCACATATCAAACATTGTCTGGAATGCCCACACCTCCTCGACAGTTGTGTGCAGCAATTGTTCGTCCTCCACGTTGCCAGGCCAATGTTGGAATAACAAATCTTGGGTAAGATACGGCGCGGAAGAATAGGGTTCATACCACTTGTCAGCATGCACCATTCGCAAAAATGCACGTCGGAAACGTTCAATTCCTCCACCAGCGGGAACTTCCACATGCTCAATGTCAGCGAAGCGGATGGCCCAACTTTTGCCAGAGTGGCACTCGGTTCGCAACATGCTTTCCAAGTTGATCTGGTGTGCCACTCCCCTTGTTGTCACTTGGAAATCTTTGATGTTAGCGTCTCTCTGGCGGAGGATTTCGCGACTCTCGCTCGGCAGAATGGGATGCCACCGGCCAACCCCGCACACCTCCACGCATTCATCGTACTCAACTCTGATCAAGGACGATTCGGACACCTGGCAAGCATTGGATGAAAATGCAACTGCCGGGCGGGGCATGTGACCAAATGAATCGGCCGTTTACCTCACATCTGGGATGCCACCGCCATCTGCCTCAAACCATCCATATCGGTTGACTCAAGAAGCTGCGGTGTCAGCGACGAGATGGGACGAACACGTGAAAATAACAAGGCCGGAAAAGGAATTCGCAACCTCACATTCCCAACCCATTTCGGAAATTAACTCTGCGGATCTTTGGATTAAATTTCAAAAGGAACAAGTGCAGTTGTCATTATTCTTTTTTGCACTACCTTTTTTCGCAGTGTCCGTCCGCCATGTGTACAACGGCGTCCCCCGGATGTGCTGTGGGGGCCAAGTCCAGGCCAGTGGGACAGCCTCACCCCCGCAGGCTGTGGAGGGGGCCTGGGAGGGGACCTTCAGCCAGGAGCTCGGCAAGAGGGGGGAGGAGCCCGTCGAGGTGGTGCTGGGCTGCGTCCTGGTTAAGCAGGCTGGCGGCAAATGGGTGCATGGCAGCATGGGTCAGGAAAGCTGACCAGCGGCTGACAAGCGCCCGTGCGGTGGCCTGTCGCTTGGCGGGCACGGGCCTGGGCAAGAACACGGAGAATGGAGGCGGCTTCCGAACTCCATCGGCCACCAACCTTGATGCCAAAAACGGCGATGCGGCACCTGCCCGGCTGGAAGTTCCGGGGGATGTCTTGCAATTAAGGCTGCTGCCCGGTAAGTATCGGCTCTGCGACAGGGCTGCCCGGCTGCGGCTAAAGGAGAGACAAGTGTGGTATCAACAGCAACCTGGGCTCTATGACCTCGACGGGCCGCTCATCCAGGCGGTCCACGCCCGTGAGGGTCAACTCGGAGAGCAGTGTGTGGGCTGCGACCCGGGCGCCAGCTTCACGACAGACAGACGCGGGCCGCAGTCCGTTCGAGGGGGCCTCCCCCAGAGTGCAGGTGTGCGGAATGGGGGCAAGCGGCGGCCTTAAAATCGACCTTTGTCACAATTGGCTGCATCTTTTGCAGCATTACTATGGCTAGGCTATTTGTGCATGAATTTCAATTTGGGCTGCAAACAACTTTATTGAATACTTTTCACCTCCGCACGTTGTTTTTCAGCTTTGTTCGAGCCGTGTCCAACTTGCCCCTAACCGGATCTGCCTCACAAAACCCAACCTGTCCGTTAAAACGATTCTTTGGCCAAAACACCGGGGAACCTGCATTGAGGCCAAGGGCAACCGGGGCAAAAGTTTGTGGAGACCAATCTGCGTTTCCAGCCGCGTTTTACTTGAACGCACCAGAAACATACATAGGTGCAAACACACGCCCACGCCAGCTCCACCGGGAGGGCATTCCACTGAGACCACCCGGAGCTTTTGTGCAAGAACCGCTACGTAGTTTCTCCAGATAGGTCTAATATACTCCGCCACTTATTCCGCCAAAGCAAGGCGGAACCCACAAACCACGTACGCAACATATATGTATATGGGATAGAAACAGACAACCAAACGAAAACGCCCCTTTTGTGCTCAGCCAGCTACCTCAAAATCCTCAAAAGTGAAGTTGGGATGGACGACAATTGAGAAATCATCGAACACTTCAACATCACCGAAGTACAAGTGAGCTGTGGCGCTGAAGGCGTGGCGAGCAGTTCGTTGTGAGACTTGGTGAAAATCACACACCGTCCTCAAAATTCAAAACGGCAAACTAATTTATCCGGGCGCGTTGCATTTTTCAAGCGGGGGACGTTTCTGTCTCAATTATTAGCCACACAAACCTAAAATCAACATGCCAACGGTAACAAGGTTCGGACCAAAGAATTCTTCTTTAAATTCCCGTTGACGTTTCAACCAAAACCTGGATGAACCATTCTCTAAGTAGACAAACCAGTGCATTCACTCTGGTCTACTAAATGGTTTGGGCCAGGCAGAAAAAACTGGAAAACCCTGAGCACTCCAGAATAATTACTCCAGAAAATAACAAGAAACCAAGACCTTTAGTAAAATTTGCAAAGTTGGCCATAAGTTGTTGGATGCGATCCTTTGTGCTGGACATGATGGCAAGACATCGCAGCATGTCAACTACAGACTGGAAGCGGCGTCAAGGGCATTTTTTGTGAACAGGTGTGTGCTTTGTGACAAAACTGTGACAAAACGGGGTCTGGCGCGGGGGCAGCCTTTCACCTGGGGGATTGGGCCTAAATGCCCGTCGAGCGGTGCACTTCTCATGTGCGTGTCATCCTTGCACAGGTGACTGTCCGAGAGCTAGAATCTGACACTGCTCCTTCACCTGTGCCACCTGCGCAAAATGAGCACATGCTCAATTCAAATCCATGCTCCCAGTATCTACACGAGGTGTCATCCTCAAATGCGCAAACCTTTGCTGCCACTTAATGGCCTCTCGATCTGAGATTCTGGTTTGCGTGCAAAAGTCCTGCGCACGCTCGCCTAAGGTTTTCAACTTTTCCTCGAGCTCTTCAATATGGGTCCTTTGAAAAACAGTCATCTTGGCACTTCAGAAGCTCTGCTTCGTACTCGCCAATGATGTGGTAATCAACCCATGTATGTTGCCTGGGTCTGGGTTTCTGTGTCCTCACTGGACACTTTCACGATCATGTTGATCTTCTTCTCCTGGATCATGGCGGCAATCGACTTCAGCAGAAAGTCCTTCGTGCCACCGATGACCTCAAGCACATAGTCCCGCAGCCACCTGCATAGACTCAAGGCCCCAATGATGCCGCACATGCACATCAAAGTCCAACCCAGCTCCCTGCTGTATTCTCAGTGCTCGTGGCCGTCGTCCTCTCAATGTTAGCTAAGAGGAGAAAAAGGCCAATCCTCAAGTCTCGACCTTTCCCAAGTCGCTTCATGCCCTGCTTGAGCTGGTAGTTGTGCTTGATCTCACGGTATTCCTCTTCTCCCACACGGTCACCACAGCGTCAACCATGTGGATCATGTATGTGGATCATGTAGGGCAAGCCTCTCAAGCGCTTCTTTGCCAAATTCTTCGTGCCAATATCTGCGCTGTTGAGCTTTGAGGGAATATATAGCGGCCACTGTGATGATCTTCTCTTTCTGTTGAATCCACAACAGCGAGGCATCGAGATGTCTCACTCTCCCAATGCCTTGCCGCTGAGTCATCCCTCTTGCTGCTAAGCTGCGTTTGTCTTGCAGTTGCCTCCTGTGATCTGGTTCCAGGCATGTCGAACCAACATCCCTTCTGAGCAGCCTGCAACCATGGCGAAGAACTCGCTCTCGCCAGATGATAGAGAAATGGTTTTCTGTGTGTTCTCACCTTCGACTCCATCAGATTGCCATCTAAGAAGACCTGAAATGACGTTGTCGATTTCCTGTCATTCGTTGCCGGCATATTTGGCACCGGTCACAATCTCCAGAAGGCGGTCATCGACCTCCTCTGCCTCTGCATCGTCAGCAGCCCTCAGGTCCATATGGACTGTCCCTTCTTTGTATCATCAATCCGCACACCATAGCCACTGGGTCCCAAAGAGGTAGGACACGAAACGCCAAGCATTTGCCATTGGAGGCCGCCCCCTGAAAGATGTACTAATTTTTGTGTGGCAGGGGGGGCACACGACCTCTACCCTGGCTGGGGCCCGGGGGGCCGGGGTGGGGCGGGCACAACAACAACAACAACAACAACAACAACAACTACTACTACTACTACTACTACTTCATGGAACCCTTCTTACAACCCCTCGTAGCACGGAATCCTTCTCAAATGCATCGTAAAGGAAGAACCGTAGCGGACTCCGTAGCGGTTAGTGTCTGAACACCAAAGCAATTACAGCGCCATGCGGGGGGGCTGCGCTCCCCCCTAAAATGTAAAAAATGTTACTTCAAAGTTTTCTAAATTCAAATTATAGCAATATAAAAACTCAAAAATTATTCACAAAATCACAACAGACTACCACATATAACCTCATTCGTTTTTCAACATCATAACTACTAACCATCTGGCACCTCATTCATTGTTCAAAATCATTACAGTGAATACATAACTATCTCATTCATTCCACAAAATCATCACTACTAACCATCTATTGCCTTATTCATTCCTCAAGAATAATAGCAGTCAGTACATCATCACCTCATCCATTTCATACCTAAAACAAAACAACCAAGCAACAAACAAAAAACAAACCAAGCAAAGAACAACATTTAAAAAGGAAACAACACAATAGACAACAATATAGCATAACCCCTCACCTTTAATAATCCAACCTTCACATCCATAATTCTTATATATGTTATTAAACATATGTTAGTAGTAAATGTCTTCAATAACTGTTAACTTAAAATCAAAAGCTTGTATTCTATTATACTATCTTTATCTTGGTCTCCTATGTAATACTTCACCTATATTATCTTCATCTACATATTCATCAAAGTCATTCATAAAGTAAATCTCTCTATAGCTACATTCATTTTTCCATATCCCTTTTCTGAGAGTTTTGCCACCAATGGAACTTCAATATCAAGTTTAATTCGATAATTTAAATTATCTTCTACTTCTTCATAAATAGAAGAGAGTAATTTTTCTTCTTCTTCTGTTATTATGTCTTCTATACTTTTCAAACTAAATGACACTCCCTCTCTCATAATAGTATTCAATTTTGTATATCCTTTTTCTTGATTTCAATGTCTTGTCATTTTAGGACCAAGTCTTGAAACCTTATACTTGTTTTGTATTCTCCTCAATGCTTCACTATGTTTTATTTTCACATATTCAGGTTCTCCATGAGTATATGATACAAAATCACCCAACACATGTCCTGGCAAATCCTTCATACAACCCATCCACTAATATACTTAACTGACTACTCTTTAAGTACATATTCTAAGATGAATAAAAGGCATTCTTGAAAACAAACCACTTAAAGATAGATTAAGTAAATAGATTCTATAATGTTATATGATGAAAACAGTTATAGACTATCTGTTGAGTAATGATTTAGCAGAAATACCAAAAAGATGAAGAAAAGAATGAAAGTCCATAATCATAGATGAAACGAAATTCAGATACAACAAAGACAAATCCATACCAAATGCTTTAACAAAACTTATTACCAGTAAAGCAAATTAATGAATACAGGAGTTATGATTTAAACAAGGCAAAGGG